CAAATAAATAAGTAAATAAAGTCTTTAGAGACTCCCGGGTGGCTCCATGGTTGAGCATCTGCCTTTAGCTCAGGGCGTGATCCTGGGGTCCTGGGATTAAGTCCTGCATCAGGCTCCCTGCGTGGAGCCTGCTTCTCCCTCTGCCTGTGTCTCTGCCTGTGTGTCTCTCATGAATAATAAAATCTAAATAAATAAAGTATTTTAAAAAGAAAAAATAGGGGAGGGGCCCAAAAGGCTTTGAAACCCAACAGCGGTGCAGGTGGACAGAAGCTTCCCAGGGGCATGATGCTTCCCGGAATGGGAATGTGGGGAGGCTGGTGGAGCTGTGGTGTGTCTGAGCTGGGCACTACGGCGCTAGGAGGCTCTGGGCTGGCAGAGGCTGGAAGCAGAGCACCCTCGGAGGCCGAAGCTGGAGCAGCTCCCCCGAAGGCTGGACCTAGGGTGTGGGGCAAGGCCTAGCCCACAGAGGAGCCCTGGCTGGAGCTGGCCAGAGCCACACTGGGCCACTTGACACTGTGGGCAGAGCACACACCCCCGCCCCCGCCTCGGTCACCACGAACGCTGAAGAGATGGAACCCAGATGGCGCATAATGATGCTGAGGTCGTGGCCGTGCAAGACTCCGAAGTCTGCCGGGGCTTTGTCCCTTTCACTTCCCTGGGTGCGCACCCCGAGCCCGGCACAGAGCTGGGCACCGGCAGGGCTGAGGGGCTGACGGCTTGATTGGCTCGGCCGCCCCGAAGCCTCTCAGGACAGGACGCCCCACGCCAGGCGCCCCACGGACACACAGGCACAGCCAGCCTTGGGCCCGCCTCGCCACACCAGCCACTCACGCCCGCATCCTTCCACGCGTGACACCCTCTCTCCGCACACGGGGCCCCCGAACTGCAGCGGCCCTGTCCCGCCCGGAGAAGCCCTCCCCGCTCTGGGGAGCTGAGGCACCCCCACTGCTCCTCCGTCTGGCCCTGTCCCCCGGTCCCTGCTTCCCCCAAGGCATCGCCATCACCCCCACCGCAGCCCTGAGCCCCCCGAATCCCTCCTCGCCGCAGCGAAGCCGCCTGGCCCATGAGGCCTCGCAGGCCGGCCCCCCACAGGAGCCCCACACGCCCGTGGCCCGAGGCGCCCAGGGAGTCTGAGCCCCACGCGCCCTCCCTCCTCAGGGCAACTGCAGGACAAGAGTGACACCTCGGCCAGCGCTTCTGTCAGAGCGAGCCCCTGACACGACGCAGGGAGCACAGCCCAGGATGGCTCGACGGCCACGACCCCCCCCCCCGACGTGCCCTGACATGCGTGCCTCCACGGCTGCCCGCGGCCCGCTCCCTCCGTGCGGGGGTGGACAGCCCCCGCCGAGGACCCGGCCCATGGTGGGTGGCCGCATGCCAGCGAGCCACGGTGCCAAGTCCCCGCTCGGACACTCACCGCGCCAGGAACCCGCGTGCAGGGAGGCGCGAAGGGCGCACGGCCCCGATCCCGGGAGGAAGGAGCGGCGGGGGCTGTGAAAGGGGTCTTGCGGGTGCTGGGGGGGCCCGGGGCACGCCGGCGTGGCAGAGTCGGTGGACAGAGGCCGGCGAGCAGGCCGGGGCGCACAGAGAAGGCAGCCCGGGAGGCGCAGAGCGCAAGCGACGACCCAGGGACGAGAGGCTGGCTGGCCTCGACGCCGTGCGCAAGGCGGCCCGGCACCCTCGTTGACGGGCCCCTAGGGTGCCAGCTGGGGGGCCGGAGAGCTGGGGCCGACGAGGACACGGCCTCGGAGACAGGCCGGGGTGGGAAGGGCCACGCCACCACTGACAGGCTCTCATGTGGGAAAGCGTGTAACTCACTGCCTCTGTTTCCCCACGCGCGGCGGGGATGATGACGGTCCTGCTCCGGGTGCCAGGAGCCCCCGAGGGAGAGCTCCACAGGTGTGCTCCCCAGGCCCGAGCACCCCGAGACCTACAGACACACCACGGGCCTCGGGTGCCCCGCCAGCCATTCTGATTCCATCCGCCGGGGGGGGGGGGAGGCCCAGGAATCTATTTTTAACAAACCCAGGATCCCCAGTGATCCCGCGGCAGGTGACCTCAAGGCCACACATTAAGAAACGTGGTTGCTGCGGTCCTGTGTCGTCTTCTCTGCCCCCTGGACAGCCCTGCGAAGTGCGGCCAGGTAACCCATTTCACAAGTCGGGAGAGGCTCCGGGAGGCTTGTCAGCGGCCCCACGTCACATGGCCAGTGAGAGGCCAGGGCAGGACCTGAAGCAGGTCTGCAGCTCTCCCAGCAGGCGTCACAGGCCGAGCCCCCAGTCAGCCTCCGCCCTGAGACGACGCGGGTACCCCAGGCCCTGCCGCCCCCACTGTCGCTTCCTCCTCCACTGTTAATCAGGCCTCGCAGACCATCCCATTTCCTGCCAGCCCACCAGCTGCCTCCTGTGCTCCCGATGGCACTTCCTGGCCTTGTGCCCTCCCAGCACCCCCTCGGCCTCCAGAGGGGGGCTGGAGCAGGGGCTGGGAGGTGGCAGAAATCGGGCACAAGATCCCCAGGGGCCCCAAGGGGCACGAGCCCTCCTCCTGTGGCCTGGACGACTCTGCAGGTGCCCATGTGCCTTCCCCAAGGGCTCACGCCTGGAGGGCCATCCCCCTGTTTACAGACGACAGGAACAGCAGGCTTCAGGGCAGAGGTGACTTCCCATGGACTGGGAATACAAAGGGAACTGGCAGATGGTGCCAAGACAGCCCCTGTCTGCATGTGCCACCAGCGCCAAGTCTGAGATCCAGCAGGAAGTGATGCCAGGCCAGCCCGGCCCCATGGGCACGTAGGCCCCAGAATAGGCAGGCAGCACCAGCTGGGGGACAAGGGTCCGGGGCTGCGGGACAGGAGACGGCACACTGGCCCGTCTGGGCTCCTCCAGGGCCACCCCCACCCTCTGACAGGGGAAGGCAGAGTTAAGCCTGTTGGAGAAGAAAACAAGAAAACGCTGCGCCTTTGTTTGTTCATTCCGCCAAAAGTGATGGAATGTGCTGGATCCTGTGCCGGAGCCGCCTCCAGACCATCCCCCTTCCACAGGTCGCTCTTCTCCCACCAGCATCATTTAGCCTCACCATCTGCTGGAAGTCCCCGCAGCACAAACACAGCTCTACACGCGCACACACACACACACACACACACACACGCAACCTCCCCTTTCTCACTCCCGTCCACTCTGAGTCTCGGGAAGGAGCGATGATCACACACATCTCCCCCTTGGTCTCCCTTCGCTGGCCCCTCTGATCCGCCCCGTCTACTCCTTTCCACCTCACCTGCTCTGCCCACAACTGTCTGTGACTTCCAGCCTCCAAACCCACCCTCCCCTCACCCAGACTGACCCGGCTGACACCCCGTCCTCTCCTTGCCTACTGTCCGCGGCCCTGCCCTCTCCGAGCTTGCCCCCTCCCCCACTGGGCTCTCCTGGAAGATCTACAAACGTGGGAGGCCAGGGAGCTCCCTCCTAGTGAGTCATTCACCCCCAAGGCCTCAGGTAGATAAGCCATAAATAAGCTCAGGGCTTCTGAACCTCATCTCTAGGCCACCTGTATCCACCCATCGCCAAATGCCAACCTGGCATCACCATCTGGGCGCCTAAAAGCCATCTCAGGGCACCTGGGTGGCTCGGTCAGTTAAGAATCTATCTGCCTTTGGCTCAAGTCATGATCTCAGGATCCTGGAATCAGGTCCCCCATTGGGCTCCCTGCTCTGCGGGGAGTCTGCTTCTCCCTCTCCCTCCACTGCTCCCCCTGCCTGTGCTGGCTCATGCACACACATGTATTCTCTCTTGTCAAATAAATAAAACCTTTTAAAATAAATAAATAAACCAAAAATAAATAAAAGCCATCTCAAACTCAACATGCCTGAAACAGAGAAATCCTGAGCTCCCCTTCCCAAAAAATATTCTCCTACTCTGTCCCCCATCTCCGTACTCACATCTACAGATTTACTGAGTGCTCCTGGGCAAGATGCTTCCCCTCAGGTCTCTGTTGGTTCAGTCCTATAAAGGAACAAGTTTGGGACTTCCCAACCACTCACCCATGGGAAGAGGCAACCATTCAGAGGACGGATTCCCATTGCTCACGCTGGGAGAGTCCACATCAGTTGAGCTGGAACAGGGCCCCGGGATCTGCAGTTTCTAAAAGCTCCTCCTAGGACTCGAAATTCACAGAATCTGAGCCCATCCTACCCCCAGCTGCTTGGTTCTGATGGACTGATCCCACCTTCAGCTTCATTCTGACTCTTGTTAATCTCAACCACCATGTGAGGCTGAGGCTCTGATTATCCCCACTTACAGATGAGGGAACCGGGCAATGGGGGGACATGACTGGCTCCGCAGTCACAACAGAAGCAGAGCTAGCGCACTTGACTCCACTTGATATTCCCAAACTCAAATGCCCCCACCCCAAACCCTGGCTGCTACCTTAGAGCTAGAACCCATGCCCACCTCCATCAGGGAGAGGCCAACCTGGCTGGCCCTCCGGAGCTAAGAGCTGGTTTCCCATCTCCCACCCACCCCACCCCCAAAGGCCCTGAAGCCTCCCCATCACCGGCAGTCTGCCCCCCTTCCAGCATGTCACTGGTCACCTGGGAAAATCTGGCTCCTGGGCCGGGCTGACCCAGGCTGGACTTCTGGCTCTGCTACCCCCTGGCTGGGTAGATGAGCACTTAGAGACTCTCAGTGCTCTGAGTTATCAAAGGGGGTGATGACACCTGCCCTCAGGGTTACAAGGAGGATGAACTAAGGACTGTGGTGAGTGCTGGGCCCAGGGCCCCACAGCTGAGGCCTGGGGTTGGGGTCTGAGCTGGGTGTCCCGGGTCGGATCCAGGCCTGGGCCTCTGTGAGGAGAGCCTGGCGGGGCCGAGGCAGCCGCCCACCACAGGGCCTGCCTATCTGCAGCCAGCCCGGCCCTCACAAAGGAACAATAACAGGAAACCATCCCAGGGGGAAGTGGGCCAGGGCCAGCTGGAAAACCTGAAGGGGCGGCAGCCAGGCCTCCCTAGTCGGCCGGGTGTGGCTCCCCTCAGAAGCTATCGGCTGAGCTCCACAGAGCTCCACACCAGCTCAGCCCCAGCCGGACCGTCAGAGGGAACGAGGACACCTCTGAGCCCGCGAGCACGGTGAGTGAGGAATCCCCGCACCCCATTCCACCCCAGACTCGGGGCATGTGCCCACGCTGAGAGGGTGTCTGGCTTCCTGGTATGGAAAGCGGCCATTGTCAGGACCCCAGGCAAGAGCCATTCTTGGGGGGCAGACCATGGCTCAGAGCAGGGCTGGGAAAGCGTACCGAGCGGCGGTGCCATAGACACAGACGGGCATTCTCAGGGTCAAGGGCTAACGATGTGGCTCTTCCACATGTAGACTCTCCAACCCTATGTGACTGGAAGGCCCAGTGGCTTCCATCGGTGCCATGATCAGAGAGGGCGAGAGTCTGTCTGAGGTGCCAGCACACCAGAGGTAGAGGACCAACCCCAGGCCTAGTCTCCCTAGGGTGGCCCTCCTCCATGGCCTGACATCATCCCTCCTGCCAAAGTTGTGAGCTGGCATCAGGAGAGGAGCCCTGGAAGGGGAGCTCTGAGCCCTGGGCCCTGTCAGCCAGTATCCCCACTGTTAGAATAGGCAAGCCGAGGCTAGGCTCCAGGCACCTGAGGCCCTATGGATCCCTCCCCTCCCTGCCCTGGACACTGCAGGTGCCATGTTTGAGCTATGGGAGCCTATGGGAGCCTACAGGAGTCTATGGGAGCCTATGGGAGCCTACGGGAGCCTATGGGAGCCTACGGGAGTCTATGGGAGCCTACAGGAGCCTATGGGAGCCTACAGGAGTCTATGGGAGCCTACAGGAGTCTATGGGAGCCTACAGGAGCCATGGGAGCTACAGTGAGGAAGGCAGCCCACCTGGATGCCCCAAGGTTGGGACCTCACAGGCCTCATATTTTAGAGAAGTCCCCCCAAAAGACTTGAAAGCAAGCAATTTAGGGTGAGATCCCCAGATCTAGCTCCTTCCCATGCTGCTTTGGGAAAATTACTCAGCACCTCCAAACCTCTGTGTGCTTGTCTGAACAATGGGACAGGGACTCATGCCAGCCATCATGGAAACTGGAGGTGATCAGGATAAAAGGGTCTAACTGATGGAGCTCATGATTCTACTACTGCCAATGAATCCATAAGTTCGATGCGTCCTTTCTATGTTCCTCAAGGGAGGCAACTGAGATTGGGCAAAGAAAGAGCAAGAGTGGGGATCTGAGCCAGGATCAAGACCCCAAAACCCAGATCCCAGACCCTTCTCAGCATCAAGGAGCTCCTCCATGTCTCAGCTTTCTCATCTTTAAACCAGAGGAAAATAGCCTTCACGAGTCCATTAAAGGAGGCAATGTACACACCAGGACTGGCGCCAGGAAGGGCTCACAGAAGGGGGATCTTCAAGAAATCACAGCTGAATTTACACTCCCCCAGAGCCAATGTCATAGTGTTTTTGACCCTGGGTCAGTAAGTCCCCAGTGGGTGGAGGTGGGGGTGCAACAGAGAGGATGTGTACTCAACCCTTCTCCTGGCAAGCACTCTGCACCAAGCTCATTCCCTACCCCATGGATGATGCTGCTGTGTGAGTGGGACAGATGGGATCCCACAAGAGATGAAGGGCATTCCACAGAGGCAGGAAGCCTGGGTAGCTCAGAGGACTCAGGAAGGCTGGGTGGCCACAGGGGACACTGGAGGCCATGAGTGCCAGGACCAGGGCCTCTGGCTCACCTTCAGGTGGTGGGGAGCAGCGGAGACCAGTCACCTTTGGGCCCTAGCCTGGAGGGCAGCAGGTAACCTGCAAGGGACCCAGGAGCTGCTGAGCCCCCGGGCAGCCCTGCCAATTCCATTGTAAGGCAGCAGGGGAGGTGTCCACTGGCCTTGCAGGGGTTAAGCTGTCCACCCCACAGTTTCAACCTGACCAATTGTGCTGCGAAACAAGGGCCGGACATGGGGGCAGGAAACCAGAGGGGCCACACGGATTTTCTCTCAAAGTTGGCTGACTCACAGCCCTGCTGCTGCCTTGGGGACACAAGGTGAACACAGTGGCCACTCGCTCTAGAAAAATCTTCGGTTTCTTGCCTATAGGGACCCATCCCTGCTACTGCCAGCACCTCTCTCCACCCCCCTCGGCATCCTTGAAGCTACTAAAACAATTCCTATTTGACAAAGGGGACCAGGGAGCTAAGAGAAATCAAGCAGCCAGTCCCAGTTACACAGAAAGCGTGAGATGGAAGCAAAATAGGAGTGAGGCCAGCCCCTCTGACCCACAGCCCCACCACACTCCATAGTGAAGCTCGGAGAGAGGATAAGTCAGGGAGGGTTAAACCTGACCATTTAAGCCACACAATCAGGCAGGAGGACAAGCCAGAGGCCTAAAGATCCTGGAAGGAATGTTCTAGGAGACAGGTTCTACCCTGAGGAGCTTAGCTTCTGGCTAGAGGATACTAAAAAGTCCATCCTGACCCAAGTCCCAGATGTTGCATAGAAAATTTGCAAAAGGCTTCCTGGAGGAGGAATATGGAGAGGGCTTAGGTCTGCTCTCCAACCTTCAGTCTTCTAACCTCTCAAGGGCAAGGCATGGACCAAAGGTTCCCTAAACTCATTCAGGGACCTCCAGATTGTCTGCCTTGGGACAGACACAGTAAGAGTCAGATCCTGGCAGGCACAGGTATTGGGAGGAGGGGAGGCAGGGACCCCGCAGCCAGCCAGGCAGTGAATGAGATTTCCTTCTGGAGAAGAACAGAGGAGGGGTAGGAGGTGGGCCCAGGGCAGAACCGGGAAATGAAGTCAGGTGTGAGTTGGCCCGACACGCCGCAGCCACCAGGCTGGAGTCGGTGGGTACGTAAGAGTCAGGACCGCCTGCATACTTACTGAGTACCTACTGTATACCAGGCTTTCCACCCATGATCTCATTTAATCCTCCTGACCAGAGAGGTAGCCATTTTTGCGTCCATTATCGAAGAGGGAGCTGGGGCCCACAGAGGCAAGGGATGGGCCTCAGGCTACACAGCTCTTGAGCAGCTGGGCCAGTACAAATAGGCAGGGACATGTGGGGCTCATTCTGTTGCTCCAATGACTGCCTCAGAGCCTCAGTTAAACTCAGGAAGCTCAGAGAAGACTGGAAAAGGCTCCCTGGTGGAGGTGACGGGTGCTCTCCCCCTGAAACCTGGAGCTGCCCCATTAGAAGATAGGGCATAGAGGCACCTGGGTGGCTCAGTTGGTTAAGCGTCTGCCTTCAGCTCAGGTCATGATCCCCCTTCGGCTCAGGTCATGATCCCAGGGCTCTGGGATTGAGTCCCACATCAGACTCCTTGACCAGTGGGGAGCCTGCTTCTCCCTCTCCCTCTGCCTGCTGCTCCCCCAGCTTGTGCTCTCTGCCAAATAAATGAATAATAATAATAAAAAAAAAAGACAGAAGGCAGACTGGATGATCCTAGAGCCCAGAAACCCAGCACAAAATTGTCTGAAATCACAAACGAGGTCTGGTGAATTGCTAATATCGACTTGAAAGATTGTACTGAGGATTGAGGGACTGAGTTCAAGTTCAGTGGAAATAAATATTGTGATCCTGTAATCAGTGATGTTTGCCATGGGTATGGAAAGGGTATGACAACCTGTGCGCTCTGCTTTGCCAGGCCTACATAAACAGTCCCTTGCAGAGGGACAGGTGTGTGTTCATCAGAGGATAATCTTGTTGTCCTCAAACAATCAAAATCCTATTGGTGGTGTGTCTAATGTGATGGACCACCAGAGATGCTATTTGGCGGCAGGGGAGATGCTTTTGAGCTATACCCCAGGTTGCACCTGCTCTGACCACCCAAGGTCTTGCCTGCAAATATGCAAATTTGTTTTAAGTCCTGCAAGTGAGGAGGGAAGCAGTGACAAGACCAGAACTGGAGACTGAGGCAGGCTGACAGGCAGCAGTACAGACAACGACACCACAAGGTCCAGGGCCTTGAGTTCATGCAGTGGGATGCTGGGATAAAGTGAAGACCTAGCCCAGAACCCACCTGGTCAGAGATACTGAGGCTAGGAAGCAGAGGCAGCAATCCTAGGGTCCTGCTGGGGCAGGAGTCAATCCAAAGGGAGGCCACCAGGGGCTTGAAAAGGAGGAGGGCATTCACCCAGGGGACACAGCAAGCAAGGGCATCTGTGCAAAGAGCCTCCTAGAGAGAGGAAGAGCAATGTGCATTCCAGAAATGTCTAGCTCTCCTCATGGCAGGGAGGGGCGGAGATGACAGAGAGGAAAGCCAGGGGGATGAGCAGGAACCATGCCATGCTGGGCCCTAAAACCAGTCTCAGGAGCCAGGCTTCATCCTGCAGGCGGTGGGGAGCCAGGGAGGAATGGGCAGCAGCGGAGCAGCACTATCAGCATGAAGGGGAGCCGAGATGGGGAATCTGCTGGCAAAACTCTAAGGGGAGGGGATCACCTCTGGGACCTACAGGAGCAGGTCCCTAGCCTGAATTGAGCCACAAACTAGGAGAAATTGAGCCACTGGTCCCAAGGGGCCAGTTCGTAGCTGCCCAATCCTGCCTCCAACACACCCCACACCCAAGGCTCCCAGGGCCTCCCCCTTCATCCTCCCATGTCTGTGGCTGCCACAGCTCAGCTGTAAATGCTGGGGGGGCGAGTGACAATGTGGGAGTCCCTGAAGGAGCGTGGGGATCACTGGCTCCAACCTCTGTCCTAGACTGAGGCTCAAGGTGGGGAGGTGGGAAAGCAACAAGGAGGGCCACCCAGGGTCACACAGAGAGCGGGGGCTGCAGCACTTGCCCCTCCCGCAGGCCCAGCCCCCACGCAGCCCAGCCCCTAATCCCTGACCCGGGGCCTCTGGGCTAGAGTCCAGAGCCTGTGGGAGGTTTGGGCTGGGACTGATCATCCTGTCCACCCTCGAGGCTGTGCCTGGGACTGGATTCAGCTGCCAGACCCTGTCCCACTGATGTGGGTGTACTGAATGGGAGCAGAGGGGCTGCTCTGCACAGCAGAGACTCTTCAGGAGTTGGAGAGGGCAGATGAGTGGGGACGGGGGTGTGTACTTCCATAGACACAGCTGACAGCGTTGTGTGTCCATGTGGCATGAGGATGTCATGTGTGGATGTT